CCCAACCACCCAACCACCCAACCACCCAACCACCCAACCACCCAACCACCCAACCATTTTACTCAGCCAACCCAATTTATGGTAAGCAGAACTAATTCAATCTGTTACTTTTCTCCAGGTTGTCCTGGTGGCTGGCATCCCTTCCGCTCCAACTGCTACTTTTTCCATCATGATAATCGGGGCTACAGTAACTGGTACGCCTCTAAAGAAAGGTGCCGAACACTTGGCGGCAATTTACTGGACATCCAGGACAACAACGAATGGTTGTTCGTTAAAAGTCATCTACAACCTGGACCTAGTGCTTATGGCGTTCCTAAACAGTATTTCATTGGAATGAATGACAACCATTGGGAGGGACACTGGCTGTGGCAGGATGGCTCTCCGGTTTATTTCTTTAAGTGGGCCGGTGGCGAACCTGATGGGGGTCATCATGAAAACTGTGGGACAATGCACGCTAACGATGGTTTCTATGGTGACACTGCTTGTACATTTCATCATGGGAGGTTCATCTGTAAGAGGCCTATGACGTCATAAGGTGAGTGAAGTAGCAGAAAATAACGAAATGTTTCGCCCCATGTAAGGGAATCCGGACTTATGGTGGATTCCGGATTCCAAGCGGTGAATTCCGGATTCCGAGACCGCTGAATTACGGATTCCAAGGGTCTGGATTCCGGATTCCAAAACTTTTGTATTGCGGATTCCGGATTCCATATCGTTAATTTTCAGATACTTTCTCTGAAAATCATATTTGATATACTTGCCAGTATGAGTAGAATCGTCTATCAATTAAATCAGCATCTGATGACAGATATCCTTGGTGGAGATATTACACAATGAGGAGGGGCTACATCGGTTCAGTCTAGGTCGAGGCGATAGCATTTGAGTGTATACTTTGAATTTCAAAGTAGCGGATTCCGGATTCCAAAGGGTGGATTCCGGATTCCATTATAAAGTGGATTCCGGATTCCAAGACCTGGATTCCGGATTCCAGAGTGCTGGGTTCCGGATTTCAAAGCCTAAAATTTCGTAGATTCCGGATTCCGGATTCCGGATTCCCTTACATGGGGCGAAAATGTTTTATACCGTTTCTAAAGACGTTCTCTCTCTCATTCTTTCTCCCTTCCTTCCTTCCTTCCTCTCTTCCTTTCTTTTTATTTCCCTTGAATAAACGAATAATTGACTTTTTGTTTTTATTATTTTTTTAGAGTAATGACAACAACAAAAGATGTTAATGCTCACAAACAGTGTTGGGATTGGTTAATTTATTCATCTCATTTCATGAGTAAAAGACCAATAAACTCGCGATCATTATCAAACACATCATTTGTGTCATTTGATTAAAATAAAATAATAAATGTCAGAAAGAAAAGATAGAATATGTATACGGTGGGATTCCAACCCAAGTCCATCTTCAGAAATTCAAAAATTAATTAAAACAAAAACCTGCAACTACCATGTGCCATACACATGAGACATCCGCAGAAGCCGAGGCGACGTATGGACGTAACTTCGGACCTTACGGCAATTAAGTCTGCCCCTGAGCCATGTTAAATCGAAGGAATAATACAATCGTTTTACATGAGAAAGAATTCGATTCCCGAGAGCAAAGGGATTTTATTTTTCTGCCATCTAACCACAGCCACTCCAAGCTGAAGTGTTGGCGCTGGCATGGGATGGTGCAAAACCTTCATTGCGCAGAATAATGTTCAATCGATCCTGGAGGCATCGGAGTAGGTACAAGCCGGCCCCCAGACCATATCTACAGCTAATCCCTTGCACTATTCTTATAGGGAAATGCAAAAACAATTGCGAAGCATTTTGGAATTGGTAGTAAATACCTTATTCAAACATTGAGTGGAAAGACAACTACTATATGAATTAGGAATCGAATTCCATGCATACATGCAAGCGGGTGGTAAAATTCATGGCCACAAATGCGATTTTCCTTAGTTCTTTAATCTTTCCGATGCAAACCTTTAGACCTTTTGAAAATATCGTAATGAGTTTATATTTTTCAAAATTTACATGCTTCCTTTGTAAAGTTGATATGTTGGTGCAAATGACACCTAGCAGCAGTTTGAGATACATATTAGAAGTGCTTAAAATATCTCGTAGAGTCTTTAGTAAGGGATACGTGAAAGACATCAGAGGAAATGACCTGCTGGGTTTCATAATGAGACGGATATTTGTGAAGTGATTGTTTAGAAGATTGTTTAGGAGAGTTTAGGGCAGGAACTGAAAGAAAAACGGGCGGAAGAAAGGAAGGAAAGAAGGAAGGAAGGAAGGAAGGAAGGAATAAGAAACGAACGAACGAACGAACGAAGGAAGGAAGGAAGAACTTCTAGCCCTTCCAGTCAGTCTTCTTCTTCTTCTTCTTCTTCTTCTTCTTCGTTTGGGCTTCTTTTTTTTTCTTACGTTTTCCTCTTTCAACTTTCGGGAAAAGTCAGTTTCAAAAGAATATAACATCTTATTACCGCTTTTATGGGTTATAGGGATCCTTCGTTTGCAATAGACGTCATAGCCGCCATGTTGGAAGAATTTGACAAAAGATTTTTCAATGAATTCTTTTGTTATATCTTCCAACATGGCGGACATCCCTTTTGTTATTGTGCTCTCTTGGGATTGATTGCAAACCAAGAATAGCTGAACCCGACACATCAAAATTGCATGCAAATGCATGATTTATCAATGATTAGCCAACGTATCATCATATTATGCAAGGTGTTTCTTGTAGAGGGTCATAGTTCAAGATCTTCACGTCTCAGAGCTCTTTATCAGAGTTCTAATCCTCTCGCCCATCCCCCCGATGGAGACAGACTACATCAGTCGAGCTACTAGCTTAAAAATGTGAAAAAATATTTGACATTACTATATCTCTTGCCCTTCCGCCCTATAAATAACCCAATGTCAAAAAAAATCATGTTACCTCTAACACGGGTCGAAAGTCAAGAAGAAGTAGATCGTTTTGGAATTAGTCAAATACCTCTGTGTTTAATTACAGACTCATTTACTCAGGCTTAGCCTCGAATCATGGTCTAAATGTTCACAAATACCAACGGTAAAGTAAAGAATGCACAACTTTGACAATACAAACACTTTGAAACTCAACGGACCTTCACTGAAACACATTAATATTCAAAGTACAGTGAACTCTCGCCTTGGGGACACCCCGATATTACGGATACCTTATTACGTATAGGAGAAAAATCCCCTACAAAAATACTGACAAAGAAATGACGGTAAACAATTTTCGCTATTGTGGACGCTCGCTATTACGGACATGATCATGAAGTGAAGGTCCCAAGGTTGTTGAACGAGAGTTGACTATAATTCCATACGAACTGATTGATTCTAGCTGGAGTATTTGCAACTGTATTGTGATTAAAAAAAGGAGTGACTAAAGGCGCTGAAGTTTTACTTGCAGATTGCGTTGAAAGATACGATTTTCTATTTTTAAAACGATTTGATTAATTTCTGCATGTTTAAAACCTTCAGTTTGTATGGTGCAGGGCGTGCTACATTGAGCAACCAAATTCAATTACTTTCCTCTTACGAAAAACAAACTTGCTTATTGATTGGCTAGCGCGTAAAAAAGTCTATTGTATCCAGCTTAATTAAATGAGAAAAAGTTTTAGCCAATCAGAATCGAGAATACTTTCAAATCTGAGGTCTCACTTTTTCTCTTGAAATTATGGAATTCCAGACCACCAAATAAGAAAAAAAGGTTGATAATAAGAGGTTGTTAACAGTAACTCAATAAATAAAGAGTTTTATATTTTTATTGCAATGGTGTAATGTTTTTATTTTTCTCTGGTCAAGTTTTACAAGCTTCAGGACACCTCAGTTTGGCAATAGAGAGTTTTAGGTTGACTTTTTTTCTTCCCGCAAACGGCAAACGTGACCACGTTTTCATAGTTTTCCTTTATTTTACTTTACCTTTTACGAACCTTCTCACCAAGCGCAAATACTCTTTTGTTTCCTACTACTTGGATTTTTTTGCGATTCTTTTTCAGTAATTTAAAAGACGTTTTTATTGGTCAACTGACGTTTCACGTTTGCCGTGAACGTAAATCTAAAACTCTCTAATGATGCCATATTTACACCACAATTTCAGATAACCCGGATGGCAACTGTAGCAACACATTGATAGCAGTATAGCCTTTACTCTTCTATAAATAACCGGAATATTTCTGTTATTGATCCGCTTTAGACAGACACTTCAAAACTGACAAAGAGAGTTACTCAACACTCATTCTAAGCCTGTATGATCACCACCAGCCATTTTAGACTCTTTAGCGATAAGTAGGCTAAGATGGGCTGGAGTGTTCGTGTGTGGTGGCCGTACGTAATCCACTAGGCAATAGAGACCTTTAGCATCAGGTTTACAGCTAACCGCTAGGGATCAGGCACAGAAACACGGAGAAATACTCAGCGCCAATGAAATTCAATATGACGGCTCATCCAGCAATAACTTCGTTATGACGCCTTGCTTAATGTCGAAAGTGTGATGGAAAACGCCTGACGCGTAACTGCAGTTTGAGCTTTGCGGGCCGACAAGAACGTCGTGCTAAAGGTCTCTAATGTTCTTTGCGGCTTGTCTTGCAATTTTGTTGCGTGTTGAAAAAGTGCATTGCAGTTGCATTGACAGGGAATGTGACACTAGGCAATGTTCCTCGCGACTCAATTTATCTCACAATTTTGTTACAGCGTTACAGAGGTTGAATTGAGTTCTATTTTTAACAAAGATTGCGCAATAATTTTGAGAAGCAATAGAGAGAGATACTTAAACGAAGAAAGAAATAAAGATCAGACGTTGGTATTTTGGTCACACAACAAGCTAAGTCACTCGCTATTGCGTTACATTAATTGCGGATTTCCAAAAAACTATTTTTCATTAAACTGAAAATAAACCTAACGCCTTGATCGATGAAGTGACACACTAAATGAAGATGATAAAGAATGAAATAATTAATTTTTCTCTTATTAAAGATACGATATTCGAAGGGAAACTCCACTCAAGGGTTTAAATTTATCTAGCCCTTGAAATCTTAATCGCTAAGTAATTTACATTTTTGTCCTCAGAGCAGACGCCATTATGACTTTATATGAACTTCTTAAGCAAATCTTGAGATAACAGTTTTAAGTCCAGGAACTGGCCAGCCTACATTCCTAAGGGAAGCCAACTTTATGCTGCCCGCTGCACGCAAATATTTTCTAATATTTTCCAAGATTTTTAAAACGCAGAAACCAACTTTTTAGAACCTTTTATTTTTATCTTATCGAAGAGATTAAGACAGATAGATATTTTTATTTATCTAACTTAATTAGTAGTTGAGGGGGAGTAGAAGATGTAAGTGTGGGGTTGTTCGACGCCCATCAATTGGAATTACAAGAATGCTTCAAAGTGGTCCTACTGGGAAATCGTTCACATGTCAAGGGTCGTCTACTGTGTATTCAGTGTTATATCGACATTTACAATTATGTTTAACGAAGAGATGAATCCCTTTTTACGTGTAGGAAAGAACGTTTCTTAAAGAAAATCATCGTCGCAAGAAATTTAGAGATACGAGTTTTTCAATCGCCTTCGAGTCAATCTTCATGTGATTTAACTTGAGTAGTCTTCTTCAGACAAGTTTTAATGCCAGAGCAAAAGGAGTCTATGACTGACAATATAAGTCCTGTAAACTCACAGGATTCTATCTATACAATGGCCGCAGGAGCAAGAGCTTTATTGCTTTGGTCGAGGCAGCAAACTGAAGGATACAATGAAGTGAATATTTACAATATGACGAGCTCATGGCGAGATGGTCTTGCTTTTTGTGCGATTATTCATCGCTATCGACCCGATTTAATGTAAGTTTAAGACTCTATTTTGCTCTATCCATTTGTGGGTTAGCTTGTTTTAGTGTCGTACGTCAAAGTACTCGAACTTAGAGTCTTATTTATAGAGGAAAGTACGATATTTGTTATGCTTTTTCTCCTTCAGTGATTTCGCTAAGTTGTCGAAGGAAAACATCATCAAGAATAACAAAATGGTAGGTATATGATGTTGTATATTAACGGTTTTTGTTAATGGATATGTTTTATCTGATTATCTCGATTCATTATTATTATTTCATTGTTGCTTCAGTTGATATTCAGAGGGTTTTTATTTCGAGGCTTTATTCAATAGCAAACCTTTCATTGTATTCGGGCTTTTTTTTTACGAAATCATAGTATTCTTTATTCATGCGAAAAAAGATATTGCAGCTCGAATCCACGTTCCTTTGGGTAGCCAAAATTAGCCTAAAGCAACATCTTGATACCAATACATGTCTCTTTGTAACACTGTTCTTTAATTTTGGATTTGGATAATTTTGGGATATTCGCTGGATAGTTAAAAAGTACGAAATCTGTTAACACCTAACGCACCAACGCGACTAAAATGACAAAAGCCTTAAATAATTGCAAGATAAATAAAAATATAGTAGTTTGCTAATTATATGCTAACTTGACCCTTAGTCAGCACACCTAAAGTATATCTGTTACAGGCATTGATAGATTGAATAAAGCCATATTTCAAGGCCTGTTATCGCTGGAATCGCCCTCGGGCATAGTGTCGTTCTTTGTCTGCTAAAAAATCTCATTCTTATCAACGTTTCTAAGGCTTTTTAAGTACGAAAAATCCTAATTACAAAACTTGAATATTACAAAATTGTGCAAAATATCAAGTAATTTTAGGTATTTTATTGAACCCTGAAACAACCCCTGGGCTGATTCCAAGTCAGGGCACAGCTAACTTAAAGTTCGAATTGGAATTAAGCATGTTAAGTTTTCAGTGGCAGAGTGAGGAAACCCGGAGAACCTTAGAAAAACCTCTCAAGACATTGCTGTGTGTAACATGTTTAGAAACAAATTCGGGAATACTTTTTCTCGATAATAAAAGATCTCGCACAAAGCTGAAATTCTTCTTACGTAGTAGCTCAGTAACACGTTCATAAAACAGAAAGATATTTAATGATGCTGTAGATAATAAAAAAATGTCTAGATATTTTTTTAAATGATGCAGATGTACAATGTACATAATCAAGAGAAGTTTTATCTTCTCAAAAATTCTAAAATCGCAGAGTTTAGGGACTGTTCGTTTGTTACGTCGTGGGGAGGGAGGGCTTGGTTTTAATGGTGGAGGGTGGTTATTTTTTGAAACAAACGTAACTTGAGGGGGGTAAACTTTGTTTTCAAGGGGGTACAATTTTTAAGAAAAAAGTAGCGCGTTTGGGTAAAAATTTAGGCAATTTTTTGTTGGTATGTCTTACAAAAATATGCCTCCAATAAAAAACCGCAAGGCCCTCCCTGCGACGTATTAATAAACGAACAGCCCTTGATTCCATTCATCTAAATCGCTCTTGGGTTTATTTACTTTGCTGTTATGAATGAAAACCTTCACTGTACTGACTGACGCAGTTGTAACCATGTATAGATGATCATCAGTTTTATCTAGTCTGACCCGATCTTTGTAGCAGACATTTCCGTAATTTTTCTGTTATCTACAGCATCATTAAACATGTTTCTGTTTAAGGACCGTGTTACTGAGCTAAGTGTGATTTACTTTTTCCTTTGGCTGTCAAAATGAATAAATGGATGGATGGGATATAGAGCGTTTTCACGTGACGTCATAGCAGCCATGTTTCAGTGTACCAAAACACTACATTTTCTACCCTCCAGGAATAGCGCAGCGCACTGATTCTAAAAATAGCTTAAAGATTCGGACAAACATTGCATTCTGTTTAACCGCTACGAGGATTATACGAACCGATTTTATTATTTTTACTTAAAGTTACAATAATAACCCATGTAAACTAAGATCAACTACGATCGGTTGTGAAAATTATCTGCTGAAAGTAAACTTGTAAGTTTGTTTGTCCGAATTTCGCCTTTGTCTTCGTTTTTATGACGTCACGGTTGCGCTGCGCTATTAAACCCTATTTTCATGTAAATTGTGTGCGGAAAGTTTCGATTGTTTGGTATATGGCTGCCTTGTCACGTGAGTGAAAACGCTCTGTGGACGGACGCACGGACGCACGGACGCACGGACGCACGGACGCACGGACGCACGGACGCACGGACGGGAAGCAGTTTTTTTAATGTTGTGAATGTCGAAGGGTGTGATTCCAATCAAAATATAAATATTAAAAAAAGATATTAGGAAGAATAAAAAATTATCATCTGGATACAGTGGGATTCGAACCCGCCTCCACGGACATAAAAGTTGACAATTAATTCCAAAAAACCTGCACCTACCACATGCCATACCCCCAAGACATCCGCAGAGCTGAGGCGACGTATGGACTTCGGACCTGACGGCAATTAAATCCTTCAGCCCTTGTTTGCACGGATTACGCAGGATGATGTTCTAGCCGAAGCATCAGGGGAGAGACCAGCCGGCCCCCAGACCATATCTACAGCTAATCCCTTGCACCACCTGCAACGCTTTAGGCGCATTGATTTAAAGTGAAAAATAATCTAGTCTATCTGGGGCATTTTTCCACTGCTATTGTTGCGCTAATTTCTTGGAACCGTAGACGAGTGGAAAAAACTTGTGCTTCCAAGACACTGAGTCAAGTCCGGTTGAGCGATGTTAGTATCTGGATGGGTGACCTGAAAGTATTTCATACTCAAGCTTCTATTTTTTTTATTTTTTTTTTATTTTTTTTATTTTTTTCTTCTCTCTTCTTTTCTTTTCT